GTGACTGGTTTGAGGTTCTTGCGTACACGGCTGAGAATGATGCGGACGAAGACTACGAACTTGCGATGGAACGTAGTCGGTAGAAGGTTAGCCTTCAGAGTAGTCTTTCTTATTGAGAAAAATTGTTACAGGATTGATCCCCTGCTCTTAGCTTTGACCTTATGTCATCCTTGCTGGACATGTGTCCTTTTGATGCTTCTGTTTGCCCACTCAACTTTGTCCTAGGTGACTTTTGGAAGAACTTTTGTGGCAATGTGTTGAAACTTGAAACGTCTGATTCACGCTTTCTTTGCACGAGTACGTCGGTGGAGATCGCTTTCATCTGAATGCAATTAGTAGTTTCTGTTCGCACGTCTGTCGTCTTTCCAACGCACTTGGAATTCGTCGTTTAAGACAAATATCTCGCCCACCGCACAGAGACTTTTCTTCCTCACAGTAGCCTCTCTTCATCGAATTCTCCTCTAATCGTAGTCTTCTTTCAACCTGTTCAGTATCTCTTCGGACGGTGTACGCGTTATCTACTTCATTTTCCGCCTTCAGTTATTCTCTTCTGACCATTAGTTGCCTTGCTGAACGGCCAAACATTCGGCTTCTGGCTGACTTAACGGTCTGACTTGATGTTCGAAAGGTAATCTTGATGGCATAATCAAAATGGTCATAATTCGCACCTATATTCTCGCTTATGTTCATTCCGGAGTTATTAATGAAAACTTTTCTGTGATAGCTTCTGGATCGACTCATAATTCTCCACAAGTGATGATCTTAGGGCTCGTTTTCATCCGTTGTTCTTTCGCGACATCGTCAATATTTTTGGAACGTAAATGCCTGTGGCCAAGCCTAGCATAAGCGATGTTCTCATCCATGACAAACAGAAAACATGATATTATTCTTTTCTTTTCAGTCAGTTCATAACCCATGTGACTCATATTATTTCCGTCTGGGCTTCTCGTTGTCCACTGTCACTTTGAGCTTTCTGGAAAACTGTGTTCATGATGTGCAGGTGCTTTCAGCGCAAGTTGCAAACCGATCGCCACGTTCATTTCTTTCGCCTTTACCGTATTTGCTGATAACTACCTCAATATCGTTCATTCTTTACCCGACCTCACTGAATTGTTCGATCTCTTCATCTTCAACCTGTTGGGTTGATCTGTAAATTTAAACTATTTGTATTGTTCTTCCTTTGTTCATCTGTAGAAATTGAATTGCTATACAAGGTGATGCGGTCATAGTTCAGTACAAATGGTACAGACTTCCTCGTTATCATAAACTGAATGCCATCGGTCTGATCTCACTTTTCGAAAGCCTTCATGATGAACATTTAGTCGTCGTTGCTCCATTGTGCAACAGGCCCCGGAGATCATCGGGTTTCGCATACTCCAATGACGTCCGTCTTGATCATCTCAGTTTCTACGAAATGGTCGTCATTAAATGCGTTTGTGGATAACGTTCTTGAATCATGGCTCTCCCTGAAGATCTTGATGACGTTCCGAGTCTGTTTACCAACCGCGGCCTGTGGTTAACCGAATCTTCGGTGATGTTCAGGCTGACGCGGTAGCCAGCACTTGCTTTTCCGGTTTCCGTTTGCCCTTGAGAATTTTTGGCGAGTAATTGTTCGGCACTTCTTTTGTTACCAACCAAAGGTTCCAACGGATGCCAATCCTCATGAGATATTGCCAACATTTCCAAAACCCTCATCCAGCCAAACCGGTTCAAAGAGGTAAAGCACTTCTCGTGGTTTTGATCGCAGAAAGGTATCATTGACGAGTGGCGGCCAGCACCATCGTCTCAACTTTCCAGGGCGGGTTGTAAAGCATGAAAGGTGCTAAGAGGTGGTAGGGAAGAAAACATGAACTTCAGACTAATGTAACTCATGCAAATGAATGACGGTAATGCCAAGAGATCAACCAGCAATGACTGAACATTCGTCTCCTAGTCCGTTGTGATCATCACGTAAGGAAACGACTCCTTAGCAGCTGAAACGTGGCTGCCTTGCTGGACTTGAAGAACCGACAAGACAGAATGCCTCACAAACTAGAATGCTAGCACCAGCTGTTGAACAGGCATAAGGTGCAAGGTTTCATGATACTGTCAGAAGAAAGGACAGTGAAAATTCTAGCATAGATTCTTAGAAAATGCTAAAATTTCAACTGATTTTCTCTACATCCTCAGATCTGAGTTTGCACTGAGTCTAGTTGTGCTCGGCATATCTAGAGCTGCATAAACATTAGCACAATATTAATAGTTAAAGTTGAAATTGCAACAGTTAATGGTATAGAATCATTCTTACTGTTTGATTATGATATTTTGCATGGTCATCATGCTTCGACACCCGGCACACGCCACCCTTGAGATCCTTAAACGGTTCGTACAACGCCGCATACGCACTTGCGATCCGCCTGACAGTGACAATGGCAAACGTCACCCTCCAGTCATTAAGATGACGGCATGAGTGTACAAGTCTGGACAAGTTTGGACAGACAATCCTATTACGTCACAGATGTGCCAGGTCTTGAAAATCCAAAACCGACCAAACAGGATATGGTAGCGCGTTCCGTTTCTCTTCATTTTTTGATACTATTTATCAAGCATATGTTGCTGTGTTTCATTGTCTTGTCAATGGGTCATAATCCTCTGTTAATAGAATGGAGGAGGTTATGAAAAGGGTTCTTCTATGTTTCTACAGATGGTTGCCAAAATCTTTCCGCCACAGTTTAAAAGTACTGTTGGTTCTAAGTTATAGAAAAAAGAAAGTTTGTAGTCGTTGGCATCTCAGTTTGGCCTTCGTTACATTTGCATGACGGGGTCATGCGTTTCTCTACGTTAATGATGGGTAACTGGTCTCTATTTCCATGCCATCAACCAGGAATGCAGTGCTTTAAAGGCAGAATCGACAGCAGTGATATAGGAAGCATAGTGCCTTGGCTCCTGTTTCTTTCCCACAGATTGATACTCATTTATCAACCTCAGAAGGAAGAAAGAGGTCAACTGTCAGCTAGAACCCGAGACCTCTCGGTCCTGAGTCCATAGCTCTAGCGAGTGAGGAAGCTTGGTCTAACTCAAACCCAGACATGGGGTCGTTGAATTTGATCATTCACGTTAGATGAAGATTACTAAAGTGCGTTGATGGAAAAAGTAAGAAAGTAAATCTTGTGCTTAGATTAACTGCAGACCGTGCATTTAAAATTGTGGCATTCCTGAAGATGCGCTTCTGTAGAAGGTATCATTGAGTAACATATACTTCTCCTTTTACGTAATTACAGAGGGTGCTGCAGAATTAATTTTTCATTAATCTCGCAGCATCCTATGCTTCAATCAACTTCTCGTCCGTTCCTTTGATAAAAAATTGCCGTCAGCTTTCATACTTTTGACTAACGCCATTTGCATCATCAGCGCTATACTCTGAGCATCAGGAAGAAAGGAGCTACTGGGAGAACTGCATTCTACAACTTCTAGCATTTTAGTTAATTCGCAATTCGACCGAAAAATATGACAACAGGAGTGAAATCAACGGTTGCATAATCTCAGCTAGTAGAACAGCATATCTGCTTCTGGAGGCATAGATTTCTAGCTTAAGTGTAGTAGAGCATGAGTCATTTTAGTTGTCTTGTTCTTTCAAACGAAGCACTTCCTGTAGCTTAACTCATAAACAATGCCTGGACAGCAAAAGAAACAATCGCTATAGCCTCATTAAAGAAAGTAACCTTTATGCTTGCATCACATTTTAATTAGAGACAGAACATTAATTCTAAGAGGCCAGAAACAAACAGGGATGTGCTAGTTGCTAACAGGCATCATTTCAATACTTATAAAACATAAATTTCGTTAGTTTCCTTATTCCTTTGTACAAGAAGCCCCTTATAGTTAGAGATCTATACCGTTACTAGGGAAATCAAGGAGGTGGTTGTGGAAATATTATGGGTTAATATCCTGGAAAGACAGGTCGCTTTTCCTTGTTCTCAGACAACCTTAATCTCGTTCGTCTGGTTCACCCATATGAGGTTCGAAAGTCGCTTGCTCGAAACCATCGTCATATTTCGTTCAAAGCTGGCAGCGCTAGGAAATGCTTGTAATTGTTAAGTAGTAAAAGCTTTTCCAAAGATGTTTTCAAAATGATTTAGGCATTAGATTTTGCATTAAAATTTACTTTTCTTTTAATTGCTTAAAGATTTTAAATCAGATTCCGGGAGTGCAAAATCACTCTTTAATCCAGAGAAAGATTCGCAACGATCTTGTATTTCAAGGTGGCGAGATATCTGTGATAATGGAGAACAGATCAGTAAGCACAACTGTATATATGAGACGATTTCATACCGGTCGATGCACTGATTTTCATTCCCACACCCCAACGCCCATAAGACAGAATTGGTTCAAACACTACACCTCTGAAAGGGGTACTTCGAAAATAGACTTTAGCACTTTCAATAGTAGTAGTAGCTTTTTTGACATTATCGCAGATGGTACTCTGATTACTCACAAGACTGAACTGTAATGAAACAAGACTTTAGAATTAAGTTCAAGCTTAGCATATCTGTTGTACAAATCAAAATCTGGTGAAAAAATTTTACGTATCATTACTTTGTCATTCTTCTATCCGGCCAACGAGATATTCGCTTGACGCTCCTGTCTTTTTAACAGGTACGTCAGTTTTGAACTGAACGCGTCACAGGTTTGGCATATGAATCTGAATAGGCTGAAGAATGTTCCCTGCTCAGGTTCTACAACTGCCTATTCACTTATCTGTTATGAAAAGGTGTAATATGCTTGAAACAAAGGGCTTTGCTTATGATAAGACCTTGACCTGCTGCGGAGTGACTCAGTGTCTCTGCCAGTGTGTGTGTGCAGCCGACTTCTCGTTGCAGCTGGCCCATTTTCTTCGAGCACATGCATGACTGCCATCAGGTACTGTATGTAGAGACGGCAGCGATGACGACAACATAGTAGTTTAAACGGGGACAACGACAGCCTGGTCGACGAAGACGACGACGACGACGACGACGAGTATGATTCACGGTTGGGCAGAGCTGGAGTTTGTGCGGTTGTTCGACGATGATTGACGCTCGTCGAAAGTCACATGACGTTCACCGGATTACTACTGTAGGGCAAGTGACGACGTACCGTTGGCGGGCGGCTGTAGACCGACCACCAGCCGTAAGCCACGATACTCGACGATACTATTTCATCATCCCTGGACGACGACTGCCGGGGTGAGTCATACACCGCCCCGCACCGCTTGGTTGTCGCTGCGCCGCAAGCGTTCAGGTGGACGACGTCGGCCGGCGTGCACCGCGGCTGTTTCCCACCGTGGTACACGTCCTTGTCAGTGTCAGGTCGAACTTCGCAGGGATGAGCGGCGACGGACCCAGCGACGTGCTACACCGGTTCTTGATCAAGGCCTACTGCAAGCAGGAGGACGAGGTGAGTCGATGG